GTAATGATAATCACATACATACATCCACTTTAATACGTACTGGGTGCATATGTTCCCAGATATTCTACATTAAAAATGTTCATATTATAGAGTTCCTAATAGGGAAAATATAAAAATATAAAATGAAGCAGAGCATCATGGGTATTCTCTACTTAACTGTGTACAAACCCCAAATGAGTTAATGAGTTGCTATGCCACTTTACAATCGCTTTCCACCAAGCGTTCAACATGTTATTACATTATCGGTTCTTTTTGGTGACATTAACGGTTGAATTTGTTAGTTACATTATTGGTTGCGAGTTGTTACATTATCAGTTTTTATTACAATGTCGGTCAAATCTTGTTACATTATCAGTTTTTATTACAATGTCGATCAAACCTTGTTACATTATCAATTTTTATTACAATGTCGGTCAAATCTTGTTACATTATCAGTTTTTATTACAATGTCGGTCAAATTTGGTTACATTATCAGTTTTTATTACAATGTCGGTCAAATCGTGTTACATTATCAGTTTTTATTACAATGTCAGTCAAATCTTGTTAAATTATCAGTTAATGATAAATTATCGGTGATTATTACATTATCGGATCCAAAAAGTCACATAAATCAGTTCTGTAACCAGTAACATTGTTTCTAGACATGTTGATATTTTGGAACAAGGATTATGATATCTCTTACGTCGATTATAATTATACATAGAAAGTGCATTGTTAATAGGACCATGCAATTGAAGAATAATTGGACAATTTATAAAGAAAAGTACGTGCCTCGAATGGTAATCGACTATACGTGCCCATTGCGCAATGAGATTTATATGGACAAGCGGCAAGGGATGTGTTTTGAAGTGAATTTAAAGTGGTCCGGTCACAAGTAGTTATCAATTCTGACAATTAAGGCGATGTATATTCCATTCTGAGTAAAGTAGTTGGCATAATGAAGGCCTGTTAATTTATCTGGCAGCATTTCTTACTTCTCTCCCTCATAATATCAAAGGATGAATGAAGAATAGATGCCCTAAATTAGATAAATAGATATTGCCATCCATGTATTTATAAGTAAGATAATATGACGACTTTTCTAGGTAAATTCATTCATATACAGGGTTTTACCGACTTAACTGATTTATTATGCCACACAGAAACGGTTGTATTGAGTAGATGATGGTTGGTTAGGTGATACTTTGCTGATGTTACGTGCGTGTCACTCTAAATAAGATTTGTATCAGTATCCTTGGCGCTGATTTAGTTTCGATACTCGTTCACTCAACAGCTTTTACTGAATACATAGCATCTGTATCCCCGTGGGAACACAATGTATTTCCGAAAATTACACGTAGCCATCTATTCTAAAAGGGATTGTACCTAGACTTACACGGGATACATTCATATTTACAGAATGAATTACGTTGTATTCTGATTCACCAAATTTACATGCAAGTACATGCATTAGTAAGAGAATTGTTTTTGGTTACATTTACTAAAATAAATGAATACATCCGGAATCATTTGAATTCACGTCTCCAAACTTGCTCGGAACATCGTTTTTTTTAATTTTTTCAAACCACCGCCATATCAGGCATGATATAACATGTGACAATGTTGAGTCATACGGTCAGTTTGTCGCGATGAAAGTATATGGGGACCATCCTGGCATTATTGCAAAACTGATATAATACAAAATGTGTCAGTTCCAAATACGAAACCAAGAATTATATACAAATGTAGTGACAGCAAACTCTGAAAGGAGCGTACATAATATAATATAATCGTTTCGATCTAAGATAACCAAATACATTGTCTGTTATCCGTCGTGCCTGCTTCGAATGTATGGTATTTTTACACACTGCCTTCAAGTTGGTTGCCAGTGTTCACGCATTTGTGTGTCATCACATATTGTAAATTGCTATACGAGAATAAAATTATGAATTTTATTCGGAACAGTCACCATCACTTTACGCGAATTAATGTTGCATGATGGGTATTGAAAGTCGAGGTATAGATTAATTTTGTATTTTGTTGTATATCAGTTATATATAATTCTACTATAAATACTACTGTTTGCAGCGCAATACCTTAATTCCTATTCTTATATATTGTTATTTCTAGACTACTAGCCATTTATATCCATTTGTACCACACTGCATAAGGCAGCACTCGTTGAGTTGTATGAAAAAGCAATTAGTCTGTCAACAGATCACGTAGATATCTCGAATCTCTGGGATGTTCATTTTATGAAGGTCATCCTGTACTAGGAAATTACCTCTTGATTTGTTGTCGTATATATGTTTTTAAATAATTGTTAAATAATTCCTCGTTTATTGAAATTGTCACGAATGTCAAACATTAAATCATGTTTATGTTGTATGTCGTGATGGTGGCGTTTTGTGTTTGTCTTACGGCGATAGATAGGCAATGTTGTTTTTGGCGATAGATAATTGTTAAATATAGAGTGGCAAGATGTTTCTTTTAGTCAGCACTAGGGAAGCGGACTTTGATAGAACCCGATCTGAACGTTCATGTGATCAAATGTGGATGTCCGATCTTGTAGGTACCACAGTAAGCCATTGAATAATATTGCATCATGGGAGTTTGTAATCTATTCTGGAGGACGTCGGTTTTGCAAGTAACGTTAGAACAATACACTGTGTATTGTCATACAAATTAATGTATTGTGATCTACGGAATGTGCATCATAAAGATAATTCTATTGGCCAATTCCGGCCTACTGCAGTTAACGAGTGGGGAAACTCGCCAGTGAATGACATTCCCGATTTTGGTTCTGAACTGGATGTGCCTTCTAATTTATGTTACTGGCTACAGAGGTGTACTGCGGCGCAAGGGAATCCACCCGGACCACTCTCCTTCTACAAGTTACGAATATTGGACAGATAAACTCTGTAATTGATTGGTATCGTGCTCGACTGAGTGTGCAGCGTGTATTCTACGACTACAGTGCTTCTGACTGTGTTCTGTAATTACCGTCGTCGCCACCGTTAGCAGAGACTCGCTGGAAAATACACCGTTATCACGCAAAGACCCGTTTTCATCTAGTTTGAAGAAACTGTATGTAGGTAGGGCTGTGTCCGATCGCCAGTATATTATTTGCGTCCGTTGTTTGTTATGTACGTTTGTCTCTTAGTTTTATGCATGCATGCAAGATTCTATGTTAGACAATTACTTACATTATCGATTTAGGCATTTCCCCGTAATAGTATAACGTAATCCACTACCCCTTTATAGAGGGTTTGGCATTTCTTTCCTACCCTTTTCCCGTGTGGAAATATTACAATATTATTACTGAATTATATTTCTAGTGTTATATTTTTGTGTAACAAAACAACGTGTACCCCACTACCCCTTGTAACGGGTCAGGCATTTCCTGCCCATCTTTTAGGTGTGTGGAATAAAGTACGTTGTTTAAGCCTTACTCGTGTAGCGTGTACTTGTTGTTTATGTCGCATATAAATTATACAACTGTCTTAAGTTTCGAATTATTAAAGGACCCAGTTCACAGGGGTGTTATGGGTGTCATTTGTTTGGGACAATTTGAAACCTTAGCTCAACCCAACTAGCACCCTGTGACAGAAATATATATTAAACACCATGTCGTTGTTTTTCGTACTGCAATATTGCTGTTCTCAAATTGTGTCTGCGCAGGTGACGACTCCCCCGCTTTAACTATTAATTATTCATATAACATCTTAGGTAGTGAGACGTTTAAAAAAGTAAAAACTGGTAAATATTGGCACAGGAACTGAACTCACTGGTAAATATTGACACAGAAACTGAACTCACTGGACAGGTACATATAAACACAGGAACAGGACTCACTATTAAATATTAACTCAAGAACAGAGCTCACTGGTAAATATTGACTCATGAACTAAACTCAATGGAAAGGTAAATATTGACACAGGAACTGAACTCACTGGTAAATATTGACACAGGAACTGAACTCACTGCTAAACATTAGCACAGGAACAGGACTCATTGTTAAACATTGACTCAGGAACAGGACTCATTGTTAAACATTGACTCAGGAACAGGACTCATTGTTAAACATTGACTCAGAAACAACTCACTGTTAAATATTGACTCAGGAACAGAACTCACTGTTAAATATTGACTCAGGAACAGAACTCACAGGTAAATATTGTCTCAGGAACTGAACTCACTGGTAAATATTGGAACAGCAACTGAGCTTACTGGTAAATATTGGAACAGGAACTGAACTCACTGTTAAACATTGACTCAGGAACTGAACTAACAGGTAATATTGACACAGGAACTGAACTCGCGGGTAATATTGACACAGGAACTGAACTCGCGGGTAATATTGACACAGGAACTGAACTCGCGGGTAAATATTGACTCAAGAACTGAACTCACTGTTAAACAATGACTCAGGAACTGAACTCACTGGTAAAGATTGACTTAGGAACCGAACTCTCTGTTAAACATTGACTCAGGAACTGAACTCGCAGGTAAAAACTGACTCATGAACTGAATTCACTGTTAAACATTAACACAGAAACAGAACTCAATGTTAAACATTGACTCGGGAACTGAACTCACAGGTAAATATTGGAACAGGAACTGAACTCACTGGTAAATATTGACTCATGAACTGAACTCACTGGTAAACATTGACACAGCAACTGTACTCACTGGTAAACATTGACACAGCAACTGTACTCACTGGTAAACATTGACACAGCAACTGTACTCACTGGTAAACATTGACACAGCAACTGTACTCACTGGTAAACATTGACACAGCAACTGTACTCACTGGTAAACATTGACACAGCAACTGTACTCACTGGTAAACATTGACACAGCAACTGTACTCACTGGTAAACATTGACACAGCAACTGTACTCACTAGTAAACATTGACACAGCATCTGAACACTTTCGTTGAAAAGAAAACGTAACAATGGGCACAACTTTTAACTGCATTCTCTCAATTTATTCAGTGATTCATAAATCACTTACCATGGACTCGACCTTTTCATTTTTCGCCATGTATATCCCACTACTCCCTGTCACGACTGCCTGTATGAAAAAGAAAACAAGTTAGTTTATACGCATATGACATGCTGGGTTTACAGGCATGTGGATTGCATTGAACTAGTGTTTGCCTGCTGTGATATCTTACGCCGTGAGTTCAGGCAGTATAACGTGACAACCAAATGTGACAGCAATGTGATTATATGTATGATAGTTTCCGTGCTATATCTACTTCTGTGCTTTTCATTGATATAATTTTATATCATCACACTGCATGATAATTAATCGTACTTCCTAACTGATCGGCTCTTTTGCATTTTCGGATCGAGCAAGGTAATTCAATTTAAACGATTAAATTTTTTATTTCTTTTTCCAGTGTACTCGTTTCTGAAAATGTTCAAGTTTCTATACACATTTAATGTTATTCTCAGTACTCCATGTGCATAACAATACGCCAGATTTTGTGAACCCTCCTGGGCATGCGTACTGTACCCCTCCAAGTAAACAGATTATACGTTTGACGTTATCAAATCTCCTCAGTCAAAATGTACTCAGGGTTTCCAAGGTTATTTGAAAAAATACGCACACTTCAAAATAAAATGTTAGACATTTGTCGTATTAAAGATAAAAAATGCTTTCTCGCACTCGAATGCATCTACAGCATAGCTGTCTTGTCAGAAGTATTTGAGAGCTTTCACTAATCCGATGTACCGTAAAATTGGAGTCACGACGTGAGTGAAACATGTGTACACAGTCATCTAGAATAACAACTCAACGTACAACGTCTTTTTCAACATAGCCTGCATATATATTATGCAGACTATGTTGAAAAAGACGTTATACGTTTATATATATATAGACAATCACATAATCATGTTTATACGTTAAAACATTACAACCAATCACCTCAGTTAAATTACCGAAGAGTGTTGAATAGTAATACTGTATAGTGGCATATGCATGCTACGAATCAAATCCTCTTAACCCTATATTTTATCTCGCTTAATTATAATAACGCGTTCGATGAATGCTCTGTTGACAAGTTGAATACATTAATGGCAAAGAGAGGGGTTGATATTTTGCAATGTTGAAGGCATGTACATCTCACATCGTAATTGTTTCATAGGGTTATTCAGAGTTCACATGAATACATAGGATGGTACGATCCGATTTTCAAACTATGCATTCTTATTCGTTTATTCTTGAAACATATGGCAAGCACATATGGCATATTACATTGTGGACTTGATTGATGTTGCCATGGTATCTGAACAAGATCATGATTGAGTTTATCTTTCCAATGATGTTGTGTTATTTTAACTCGTCTCTTCCTATCATCTTCAAATAAATATTGTATTGGACAGTTTTGGACACGGGGAGATGTTCAAAATAATTATGTTGTGTACAAGAATACAATCCAAGTGAGGTGTATGCTCGTATAAGTCATTGTGATGAAGCTCTGACGGCAAATATGAAAGCAAACGACTTGCTGGAATATAGAGGGAAAACATAGTCATTGGTGGTTGTTTTGTGATGAACTGGTTGATTGGTATTGTCGTTATAATATAAAGCTGGCACTATGTGTGACTTAATAACACAAAATCTGTTATTGTGTTGGTTTATTTGCTCCCTTTCAAATTGACATGCCACAGTTATTGAACCATGTGGTGTTCTATGCGGCTTTCAAATGTCGTATATTCAAACGCGACGACTATGGCGCGTTATCATTTGAACATCACGATATCTCCAACTGACATGACAATGGACTATAAACATGAATTTCCTCAGAAAACTACAGGACAGGGACAGTTATTAAGGTATACATTGAATTACCACGTCTCTAGCAATATAGTCCCTGCTTTAAACTGCACCGTAATAAATGTGTTCACAAACTCATTGTCAGCCGGAGATTCTATTGATTATTGTCCTTCAGCCGTTTACGAGTCTAGAAAAAAAAGAGTTACTTCAAAATAAATAGAATTTCACATGATCGAACGACATTTATGCGGATTAACTGCAATTGGCAGATCTCGTTCTATAAATATTTCATTTCTATGCTGTTTTTTTCATCGACTTTAATCATTTATAGTAAATCAGACAGAACCCACGGGCTTAGTCGCACAAACTGTATTGCGAATGCACGTTTTTGCCTCAAGGTCAAATACTTCACTGTATCGAACTCTATATATTAATGATCATGGTAAAATCACAACATGATGAACCATCACATTGTTTTGCTGTGAGATATATTGAATATCATCCCGATATCTGACTTCGCAACTAAATCATTTATTTTTGTAGTGCCATAGAATTTAAAGCTCATCTTGCGACGTGATTGTCGATGTGAGACAAAATATATAGTCTAAATCTCAAAACACGTTGTCCAAACGAGATTCTGGGTATAGTTGAGATGTGATGGGAATGACTCTTTGCAGAGAATACGTATTTCATATTTTGCATCATTGAAATTACCTCCAATTGTGCACTCTTATGATGACAATTATATTTACGTATTCAAATAATTATGCCATGCCAAATGCATTCATGTCACATTCACTCATCAATTCATATGTCTGTAAATTGGTGGGTTTACCGGTTATTGCGTGATGAATCTGTTTTGTATTTATGGCTTCAGAGAAATTTGCATTACACTGAATCATCTTCACTAGTAAGCATCGTTCTATGACTTGTTTTACGAGGTGTGAGGATTGTAATAAAAAAAGAATTGCGTGTTGAGCACAAACGATTTATTGCTGTTTTTATTATAACAGTATAAACTAATAACAGCCCAGACCAGGTACGATTTATTGCCCGAACACTACACGTACACATGTCCGATAGTTAGTCGTGCTGCGTGCCGAGGTGTCGCCCCTAATTGCATACTGGACGTCCGGTCATTGGACGAGTATCCATGGGATGAATGTACATGTATTGTAAACCAAGTAACGATTATAGCACAATAGATTGAGTGACTGGTACTCAAGGTTCGACTGACTGGAGGATCCACACTCCGAACAGAGTGGATCCACTAGATGATAAGAAAATTATTGGGTGTTTGGGGGTTTAAGAGCGATGGTCGTCACGCAACGCCCGTGCGAGATATGGGTCATATATAAACAAAGACGGCAACTTTGACTACTTTGTAGACCAAAAAGTACAGACTGAGAGGTTGCCAAGTTTTAATTAGGCAATATTTTGGTTATTGCAAGGTATCGAAGAAGTCGCCAACGGTAATTAGTGACAGTCACGCCCAGGTCAAAACTCCTACCTGTGATTTCATTAGAAAAGTGCATGGGAAAATCAATGTTTGTCAACACAGATGTCCTAATATTTGACCCATGTGATTCTGTTATATACAATATCTGTATTTAACTACTATTGTAAGACATTTGTACGGTACACAGAGCACAGATAAAGACACATTATTTTCGAGATGAATGTAAAAACAAAGATTTACATAATTGTTCGATTATGTACCATTGTTTAGTTTTATATTAACGAGACTGGAACACCATAAACGGACATCGACGTTATATAAACTCCAAGCCAACTAAATAAACATATTTCACATCGTGATGTGTTTTGGAAACTCAAATCAGAACATCAACAAATGTAAAGATAATTGTCTTGGAAACACTGCAACAGTCACAAGGTAACGTATAGACTGATATGCCAAGACGGCAATCAAACAAATAAAGATACAATTCCATAGCATACATCAATGGATAACTGGATATATATTTGATATGAATAAAACACCGAGGATCTGACAAATGCATATTTACAACTTTACCTGTACAAAATAATGACCACACACCTTAGTGATGTTACTTATCAATAGTTTATTCGCAACGTTTTGAACGTTTAACGTTACTTGATATAAGTGTGCAATGGCCATGTTTCTATTATAGGCTACTGAGATTTGCGTGTAACGTCATCAGTTTTCATTGTGATCAGACGTCGCCATCAAACTCCGAATCGCGTTAAAAGTAGTATGTTGAATGTTCAACAAAATCTGAACTAGAACCAACACCATTACTGACTCAACATATATGGGATTAGATGGGCAAATGCAGCGTATGTACTTAGTCGGTGTTCACATTTATTACTGAACACAGTTAACACATAAATTGGATGCGATATCAATAGCGTGTACAAATCAAGATAAAAAAAAGAATTACATCTGTAAAATATACTAATATGGCTGCATGGCAGTTTTGTTAACGTTTACAATATTGCATCACATCTTGCTAGCAAAATATATGTTAATGTAACGCACGTCGCTCGCAGCAAATAAATATCAATTCCATGTCTAACTCGTTTGAACAAGAATGTTGGAGATACATCACTCTTAGGATCGGATCACGCCGTAGATAAAAACACGCGTTCCTTTTAAGATCGATATGTACGGTAACTTGAGCTGTATACTGATCAGAGATAACAACGTCACTGCGTGCATTAGATAATGTAACACCACATCTGTCTATATCGAACATAACTGTTTCCCTATCCGCAAACATACCTTGCCAGATTCATTTTTAAAAAAAAATTCGGTAATGTATCAGCTGACATTTGGAGCAGGTATAGATGTACATGAGCAGAGAGAACATTTAAATCTTTGACATGGAATATATATACATTTGTAGTGTAACTAGTTGTTCATATGTCCCCCAGTTGTTTTAGTTTTGACCAAGGCAATTACTAATGAATAATAAATACCACAAGCGGCTTGCAACGTAACATATTGATTCCTATCAAAGTATTATATATTTTATTGCACTACGTGCTGCTAACGTACCATAAAATATATGCTTAAATGGCATACACCAGCGGCAAAGTAGATTTTGAATTGTTTATTCAAATACGCGTTTTCTATGAGCAGAAATAAATGCTTCAGTTTTAATATTCATGATGTAATATTGCAGCCGTCTAGATTGCCAGACGTGCTCAAAACATCTCCTGTACTATCTATATATTTCTATGGAGTTGGTACTATGTCCTTGCTAGACAACGCTTTACATACTGCGCTATACAGACGG